ATGTACATACTCTGAATTATAATTTAAAAAATTCAAATATTATGTAAAATTAAATGAGTGCCATATTATATAATTAACTTTTCTTTTAAGTATTTCTTGTACTATAGATAACTAATACAATTTTAAAATCACACACAATCATTTGTTGAGCATAATCTTTACATATTTGTTTCTAGATGTCAATTTCCTATATTCTTACAGTTCAAGTCACAGAATATGAGTAAATGGTTACATACTTTGATAAATGGAAATTTTGTAACTACATTTGTGTATTTTAGCATAAATATTGTTAATAAAATGTATTTTCATCAATTCTTTGTTTTAAACAATGGATTCATAGTATTCTTATCAAATATCATTAAAATATAGTTATTCTAATAACATTTTTACTTTGAGAAGAATAAAATAAAAACAAAACTATTACTCTATACATCCAAAAATTGAAAAAATAACTTTTGCAATGAAACAAGATAAAATAACAGTCAACATAAATCTAAATTTAAAACAAGCATAAATTACTGCATTTCTACAGTAATAACCCTTTGTCTTATCACATTTAGTTATACTAACGCAGATTATAGTCAAGATATGAAAAAGGCAGGTAGTAGATAGAGTTTGCTTTTAATACTAACCTTAGTTTTAATTTATGAGACTAATGTTTACTAAATACAAATTTTGTATAATATTTTAACTTTCTTCATCTAATATACTATCAAAGCAACAAAAAGTTAATACCAACATACATTTCTCTAAGAGAATCAAATAGCTATGTAGAAATTAAGAAGAAAGTATCATAATGTTTTACTTTTAATGTGATGACCACTGCATTGGGTATAATACATTTTGCTTTATGAAACAAATATAAAAATTAATTATTTTTCCATGAAGCTTAAAAAATTGAAATCCAAAATGCTTTTCAAATCATGATGTGGATTTCACATCTTTAGTATAAATTTTTAACATCTTTTTTCAAATTGTCCATTAATTTTTTTTATTAATTGTCCATTAAAATATACCAATGTCACATATGTATATCGTACTATTGTTCACAAATATGAAGTTTTGTATTCATTTTCCCAACAATTTTCACTTCTTACATAAGTGTATGGTTGATTTTGCGAGTAACTGTACATTATGGGTATGTATACATGTATATGTTCAAAACAAAGTAATTTTTAAAAATATACATAATCAATTGTAATTTATTTGATATTAAAATAAGTAAATAATATAACAATAGCACAATAAACATATATTTTTACAAATATATACAAATAATAAATAAAATTAAGTATTTTAGGTTGCTTCGAAACTCAAAAGTTCATACTATTTACATAAATGTTAATAAACAAATACATACAATACATACTTGCCAGTCTACATTTGAAGGTAACAGACATATTCCACATGTTATAAAATACCACTTGGATGTTCCATAGGTAATATTACTTGTTGAAAATAACTTCTTTGTCCATTTACAAGCAGATCAGTAATGCATTCCATTTAAATAGGCCCAATTAAAATACCCAATACATGCAAAGTTTTAATTATTCTAGCAAATAAGAGGAAATTGAAAAATACAAGACAAGAAATTTACTTAAATAGAATGAAAATAAAAATGCAGGGAATAATCTTTTTTTTTAATTTATTGAAACAAAATAATATTTACAAATAAAGTTTTCCTACCTTTCGACTAGATAACATTTATGCATGTTCTTACATTTCTTATGTTAAAGTGTTAAAACCAGTTGCATTACATAAGAAAATAAACTTCTTAGGTTTCATACAGGCATACAAGGGTAATACAATATACAGTAACATGCTACATTAGAAATATATAAAACCTACTATAATACAGAAAACACTACAACCAAAAATAAAACTTAAAGTACATAATTAAAAATATATATAGGTCATCATGCAAAAATTAAATATTATTAATTAATTTTCTAAAAGTATTACACATTAATTTAAACAGCCATTCCTTCACTAGTTGCAAAAATTAAGCAAGTTAATAAAGTATCAAACGTGAACAGGTTAACATTTGTTAATTAATATTAGTTATTATATCTTACTCTTTAATGCGTTGAAATTGTAAAAGATTTTTTATTGCTGCCACAACAAATTGATGAAGATTAAACATATCCATATTTTCCGGATTTCAGCAAATTTAAATGCTTAAAATCACAGTACAACCAGCCAGTATGATGTTAACGTAAAATATTAATTATTGTGGTAGTTATTTATTTCTTATTTCATGCTTCATACTTTTCAATTATAAACACAAAATATTAAATATTGATAGAACTAATATATTTTTCATACCAAATGATCTACTCATTCATCTTTAATACTACCGCTACCGCTGTCGTAGCACTACTGAATGCTTTCGGAATATCATGCAGGCAATACCAAAGTATAGATATAATTATCAGAAGACTGTCACGAAAGCTTTATCATTCTTCGTTAATTCTTCATATTTACGTTCAGTATCGGTGTTAAAAAGTAAACTTATATTTGTATCACACTCACAAATTAAAATACATGTATGCATATACACTGCAGTCTCATCGATTGTTGCCGAATCTCTAGAACAAACACATGCACAGCAACGATGATTCTATGTGAAATGGCATCGTACGCTATTCGTCATCGCACGCATCGTACACCATATCACATAGTGCCACCACCGCTGTGCGTTTGTGTTAGTTCTAGGGATTCGGCAAAAATCGATGAAGCTCTGTGTACAATGAGTTACAAAATGATTCGCATAAAAACAAAGTTAACAAAAACGTGAAAAACAAACATTTAATGAAACTTTAATGAAACTATAATTTATTTATTCTAAAATATATAATCAAAATACCGAGTATTT